ACTAATAAAAAGAAACAGAAAGAAAGCCGAGTCCACACACTTACACATGAACAAGCAGATCTAACTACACCAGTTATGAAATGCATAATCCATTACAAAGTGGTCTGAAAAATGTATTCCAATACACTAGAAAATCTACAAGAGGCACTAAGCCTAAGCAGCCGGTGATGGCGGCAGCGGCGGCTGTGGCTGCGGCGGGTCCGGGCCCATGAGGCGACGACGGAGGCGGGACGGCTTTTACCCAGCGCCTGACTTCCGAGACAGGGAAGCTGAGGACATGGCAGGAGTGTTTGACATAGACCTGGACCAGCCAGAGGACGCAGGCTCTGAGGATGAGCTGGAGGAGGGGGGTCAGTTAAATGAAAGCATGGACCATGGGGGAGTTGGACCATATGAACTTGGCATGGAACATTGTGAGAAATTTGAAATCTCAGAAACTAGTGTGAACAAAGGGCCAGAAAAAATCAGACCAGAATGTTTTGAGCTACTTCGGGTACTTGGTAAAGGGGGCTATGGAAAGGTTTTTCAAGTACGAAAAGTAACAGGAGCAAATACTGGGAAAATATTTGCCATGAAGGTGCTTAAAAAGGCAATGATAGTAAGAAATGCTAAAGATACAGCTCATACAAAAGCAGAACGGAATATTCTGGAGGAAGTAAAGCATCCCTTCATTGTGGATTTAATTTATGCCTTTCAGACCGGTGGAAAACTCTACCTCATCCTTGAATATCTCAGTGGAGGAGAACTATTTATGCAGTTAGAAAGAGAGGGAATATTTATGGAAGACACAGCTTGCTTTTACTTGGCAGAAATCTCCATGGCTTTGGGGCATTTACATCAAAAGGGAATCATCTACAGAGACCTGAAGCCGGAGAACATCATGCTTAATCACCAAGGTCATGTGAAATTAACAGACTTTGGACTATGCAAAGAATCTATTCATGATGGAACAGTCACACACACATTTTGTGGAACAATAGAATACATGGCCCCTGAAATCTTGATGAGAAGTGGCCACAATCGTGCTGTGGATTGGTGGAGTTTGGGAGCATTAATGTATGACATGCTGACTGGAGCACCTCCATTCACTGGGGAGAATAGAAAGAAAACAATTGACAAAATCCTCAAATGTAAACTCAATTTGCCTCCCTACCTCACACAAGAAGCCAGAGATTTGCTTAAAAAGCTGCTGAAAAGAAATGCTGCTTCTCGACTTGGAGCTGGTCCTGGGGACGCTGGAGAAGTTCAAGCTCATCCATTCTTCCGACATATTAATTGGGAAGAACTTCTGGCTCGGAAGGTGGAGCCTCCCTTTAAACCTCTGTTGCAATCCGAAGAGGATGTGAGTCAGTTTGATTCAAAGTTTACACGTCAGACACCTGTTGACAGCCCAGATGACTCAACTCTCAGTGAAAGTGCCAACCAGGTCTTTCTGGGTTTTACATATGTGGCTCCATCTGTACTTGAAAGTGTGAAAGAAAAGTTTTCTTTTGAACCAAAAATTCGATCACCACGAAGATTTATTGGCAGCCCACGAACACCTGTCAGGTATTTCAGACTGTTATTCTCAGGTTTTTTTGTTCGTTTGTTTTTTTCCTTAAACCTAGAAGAGCATTGCTTAAGAAACTTATGTCAAGTAAAATAAATGAAAGTTTGTCATATTTTCTTTGGTTAATGTAATCACAGCATCTATGTCATCTCAAATTGCAAAGGACTAGTCTAACGATAGATCAGTCACACACTAGTTTACGTTTCCCTCCTGAAAGTAAACTGCTATGCTGGCAAATACCCTCTTACTCCATTCACTCAACATTTATTGTGCACCAGGAGCTGGGCTGCATGTTATATGTTTTTATAGTACATATAACATGGGAATTGTCCCTGCCCTGATGGAGCTTACAATTTAGTGAGAGTCACAGTAACAAAGATGGAAATACATACAAAAATATGTAACTATCACTAGTGCCAAGTGCTATTAAAAAAAAAAAAAAAAAAAAAAAGCTGGGTACAATGGTGCATTCCTGTAATCCCAGCAACTTTCAAGGCAGAGGATCACAAGTTTGAAGCCAGCCTCAGCAACCTGGGGAGACTGTCTCAAAGTTTAACAGGGTGGGGGATGGTGGCTGAGAATGTAGCTCAGTGGTAAAATGCCCCTGGGTTCAATCCTTGTTACCTACCCCTCAAAAAAAAAAAAAAGGCAGTAGCAAACAGAGGAGACAACAAGGAGACTTCTACTTATAGGAATAAGAGAATGGCCTCCTGGTGAAGTAACATCTAGGAATAAAGAGCAAGAGCCAGCTATGCAAAAATAGGAGGTACAAAATGTTGCAGGCAAAAGAACAGCAAGTGAACAAGCCCTGAGGGAGAAAAAAAACTTGGCCTTTTCTTGGTGTTCTGGAGTATGGTGAGTGAGGAGGAAAATGGCAGAAATTTGGAAAAGTGTTTTAATTTTAAATGCATTGGGAAGCTGTTTGAAGTAAGGGAGTAAAATTGTTTTAAAAATAAGGTCTGGAGATGTGGCTCAGTGGTAGAGTGCTTGCCTAGCCTGCATGAGACTGTGGGTTCGATCCCAACCACTGCAAAAACAAACAAAAAAACCTGCATATCTGTTTATCACTCAGGGACTTAGAGACCAGTTAGAACACTCCAGGAATTAGTCTAGGGAAAAGATGGTACAACCAAAATTTTTGCCTTCATTTCTAATCCACATAAAAATAAATTTAAATGAAAAAAGTGTTATATGTGCCTCTCCCTTTAAATCTAAGGGAAATACTTCTTGTTGAGATGATCCTTGAGACAAATGAATGATAGCTCTTCCTTGTCTTAAAGCCCCGTCAAATTTTCTCCTGGGGATTTCTGGGCAAGAGGTGCTTCAGCCAGCACAGCAAATCCTCAGACGCCTGTGGAATACCCAATGGAAACAAGTGGAATAGAGCAGATGGATGTGACAATGAGTGGGGAAGCATCAGCACCACTTCCAATACGACAGCCGAACTCCGGGCCATACAAAAAACAAGCTTTTCCCATGATCTCCAAACGGCCAGAGCACCTGCGAATGAATCTATGACAAAGCAATGCTTTAATTAATTTGAGGCAAAAACAAAAAAAGCAGGGAAAAAGGGATGTGTGAGCATCCTGCAAGATGAAACAAGAAGAATTAAAAATGACAGTCTCAAAGAGTCAGTGTCATTTCCTGGAATGCTTTGGACAAAGGAAAAACAAACATGGATTTTTAAAAATCAATCAATGGTGCAAACAAAAAAACTTGAGCAAAATAGTATTTCAGAACTCTTAGGCACATCAATTAATTGGTTCCTAGCAACATCTCAACCTTATCAAGGATTTTCACGTTGATGGCTGGAAACTGACAGTATTAAGAATAGGATGTTGCTTCTGAATCACTGTCAAATTCTGATTGTGTCGGAGAAGGGTTTTCCTTTCATTAGGCAAAGTATGAAATTGCCTATAATACTTGCAACTAAGGACAAATTAGCATGCAAGCTTGGTCAAACTTTTTCCAGCAACATGGAATCAAAGACAAACTTATCAATTGATGTTTTACGTGCAAACAACCTGAATCTTTTTTTTATATAAATATATATTTTTCAAATAGATTTTTGATTCAGCTCATTATGGAAAACATCCCAAACTTTAAAATGCGAAATTATTGGTGGTGTGAAGAAAGCCAGACAGCTTGTTTCTTCTCTTGATGAAATAAAAAAATGCAAATGAATCATTGTTAACCACAGCTGTGGCTCCTTTGAGGGCTTGGGGTATACCTGGGGTTTATTTTTAGTAACCCAGCTGCAATACCTGTCTGTAGTACTAGGAAAACAACAGCAACAATCTATTTAATCATTTCTACTTGCAGTAATGCTATGTGCTAAGCTTAACTGGAAGCCTTGGAATGGGCATAAATTGTATGTCCTACATTTCATCCTTGTACTGGGCCTGCATTGCACTGGAAAAAAGTCACCACCTGTTCTTATACCAGTATTTGGTTCAAGACACCAAATGTGTTCAGCCCATGGCTGAGGAAGGATGGAAGAGAGTCAGGATAAAATGCATACTGAGGGCAGCAAAATGGGGAAGATAGGAATATCCAGGGGAAGAGGGTGTTCCCATGGTCCACTCTCTGTCTAATCTCTTTATGGCAAATTGGTAAAATTTTAAGTTTTACTTCGTTTTACTGTTTTTGCTGTCTACCTTCTTTAACATTTTTTTCCTTAACAGTTTTAAAAAAGGAAAAAAGGTCTAATTTTTTTCTCCTATACTGGGGCTACCTTTTTTGATTGTAAAAATACTTGATGGCCTTTTGATGAATGTCTTCCACAGTGAATAAGAAAACTTAGTGGCTTAATTTAGGGAACATGTTAACAGGACACAGTTTTTGAATTGTAACAAAATCTACATAAGTGATTTACAGGTACAAAGAATAAATAAAGGTGACTTTACCTTTCTTAAATAAAAAAAAAAAAAAAAGAAAATCTACAAGATACTAATAATCTCTAGACACATATAACCTACCCAAATAGAACCAGAGAATATAGGAAACCTATATTCAATCAATGAGATTGAAGCAGCCATTAAAAGACTTCCCACCAAAAAAAAAAAAATCAGGAACAAATCTATTTGCAGTTAATTTCTACAGATCTTTAAAGAAGAATTAATGTCAATCCACCTCAAATTATTTCCTG